TAGGGGCTCCTGGCATCGCTACTAGGAGCAAGGACGCTACTAGGGGCTCCTGGCATCGCTACTAGGAGCAAGGACGCTACTAGGGGCTCCTGGCATCAGTAAGCAGGACTTCACATCTTCATATCCACCGGGGTCCATGTCTGATATCCACTTCTGCTTACTAGAGCTCTATGTTACCCAGAACAGTTTAGACATGTTTAGAACATGTTCTAATTTGGGCGTTTTCTGGGTGCAGTTAGCGGCAAAATCTCTGCCTAGCACTCGGTTTTGACTATATATACATGTATAAATCTGACAGAGTACTCGTATCATAGCAATGGACGGTCATTAATGATTTTGCACCCTAACATGAGTCCAAAGACTATTTTGCCCCACTGACGTAAAGGACCTTCCTAGACTGGGCGTCACCTGCTTAGTAGCCAGACCATTTTTGGCAACATCGTCTTGGACTGCCAGGGCCATACTGTTACATGGTATACCGCCGGTCAATGGCACCTCCGGTCACATCCGAGCTTCTCTGCCTTCTGCGTTTCACACAACGAGCAAACACATCTTGGGACAGGCTTACTTTAGTTTTCCTTTGAACCATCCCGCAGCTGAACACTATAGATGTACCACTTCTTCCACGAGCAAAAGGAACGGTAGATGAGTCTTTCTGGCCAACCATTCATTCTTGCCTTTGCACCATGAAATCTCTTCCCACTTCGGCAGACCGGAGCGTTGATCGCGGTGTGGGCCGTTTTTTCTGTGACCCGCGCTTTTCGCGCGCGCTTCGCGAACCCGCCCACCCGGAACCACGACTGTCTGGCCAGGCCGTCCGCCGTCGGCTTCAGGTGGACTGGGACCACTTGGACCAGGCCCCGAAGATCGCGACCCCCCGCCCCGCGGTGGCCGCCGCCCGCGCGGACTGATCCGTCGCGAGCTGCCGCTGCCGCTGCGCTGCGTAGCGAGCAGCCGCAGCGAACCGTCGCGGGCGAGGGCGCAAAAGAGTCCGCGCCGGAGAGGTTGTTTTGGTCCGATCTGTTGGGGGATCGAGCTTAAGAAATACATGCAAAAATAAATTGCACAAGAATTCGCAGGGCCTTTTCGTAACTTGGAAGGATGGAAGTGAAGGAGAGGCAGCTGAGATGAACTGGTCCATAGTGAGGGCATTGACATGCATTGACTATAGGGTTGGTTCTTTCTTGTTTTGTCGCCTTTGAGCATTTCCAACGGCCAGCGCAGGGAGTTTCCGTGCAGTTTGTACCTTCACCCTTTTTGGTGGCTCAAAGTGGAAGGCTCATTGGCCGGGGACTCTAGGCAATGGAGACACTTGGGCAGCTTCCGGAACATGAGGCAGTCATGTGATCACCTAGGAGTGCTTGTTTGCCATGGCAAGTTAACTAAGTTGTCAGTCATATTCAGCAGGATTTCCATTGGTTTCCCATTTTTGTGTTTCTTTTAAGTCAACTTTCTGGGCAGGTCGTGGTAGTGAACACCTTCTTGGAGGTCAAGGACAGGTTTCGAAACCAGAGCGTGGCTTATCAAACACCAGAGAGGGAAAGCGAGTCTTTTTCGTGAACACGAGGCAAACTGGATCGAACCGACACGTGGCTCTAACAGATTGACTCTGACCCGGACCGGATCTGTTTGATTCCATGGACCTTTTTCGATGCCCCTTTTTTCGATGATCATTTCATCTTCACATCGATGATCAGTGAGTTCCCCCAACCACAACGTGTCTCACAGCGGGTCTGACGACAGCTGTGCTGGTCTGACCTCTCCCTCAAAAAAGCTGTGGTCTTCTCTCACTCTCGATCGATCTCACTCTCCGAGGAGAAGAGACGGAAGGGCTTGGAACGTGCTGGAACTGCTCCGGCTCGTACCTTGGGATCGCTCCAAGACGAGCTCGAAGACGAGGAGCTCGGTGAGGAGCCGAAGGAAGACGGGCTCGAAGACGAGGGGCTCGTCGTCTCGCATACGACACCGGAGACGCCGGAGCAGACGCCGGAGCAGACGCCAGAGCAGAAACCTGCCGAGAAGGAGGCGGGCGCTGGTCGGAATGTTGTATGTTACTATTTTGAAGGGAGCTGAAAGCTAGAGGGGGTCTTTCTTCTCGATGACTGGATGGCTGATTCGTGTTTTGGGACACTGCTTCCTTGTCTCCCCACTTGTCTCCTGTTGATATGTCTCCCCAGTTGTCTACTTGTGATTTGCACTTTTTCTGCCGCGGCTTCCTTGTCTCCTCACTTGTTGTGACTGGTCCGATGATACCTCTCCTGCCAACTTTCATTCGTTTTTTGGGCCAAGAGGAAAACATGTGCTTCCGTTTTGAGAATTAGTTGCTACCTGAGGTCTATGCAGGTGTTCTTCTTTTTTTCAATGATTGAGTGAGTGCATGTAGTGTTTTGCTTTCTGGGCACAGGCTGGCTGGGTTCCGCCGGAACAGTGTTCCCTGAAAGGACTGCGACGGAAAGAAAGCCAGAGGAAGTCGAAGACGACCGAGTAGCATGGCTGCACCAGCTGCTTTCGTTTGTTCACGCTGTCGGAATCTCCGTGCCTTTTTGTTGGGTGTTTCACGGTTGTTCTGCACTGGTGGGATCTTGTGAAGTAATATGTAACAAACTTAGTATAGCGAAAGTATAAATCGATGCTTGGCTTGACCTGAGCTCAGTGCAGGCTTACAGAGGTTTGACACGCCCGACCTGTGGGAGCAACAACAAATCCTTCTCGGAGAATTTCCTGTGCCACAGTCGCCAGAAGAGCCAACAGTGGCACAGGCCTTGGGAGCTTTTGGGTGTCTTTTCGAAAAAAACGGACGCAGGGTGCTGGGGGGTTATTCTTTTTGGTTGCTAGCAGTGCTAGCAGTGCAAGAACCTTTAGATGAAAGTTCAGATTCATGTGTTCTGGTCAGCTCTTGTCTACCCATGGTCTACCCATGGTCTACCCATGTTGACCCGGCCCCAAATGGACGACAGGCTCATGCCGTTGCGAGTCTGCCTGAGGAGGTGGCAGCTGCGGCGCCGTGGCAGGCACTGGCAGCTGTGGGGTGCCGAAAGAACCAGCTTATCGTCCTGGTTTTGTATAGGAAGCGTCCGGACTTTTGAGAGAAAGCCAAAACCAATAGACGGATGTAGAGTTGTTGTATAGGGTGAGTAGAAAGTTCATGAAAGGTCTGTAGCATCTGTAGCATTGTAGCATGAGGGAAGGTGGATATGTTTTGAAAGACAACGATGCAGAGGCTTATGGAGTTCAAACACATGCAAGTTTCACAGGGACAGCAGTTGGCATACTGGACTTGCTCGTATGAATTCAATACATTTGATGATTCCTGTCAATTCCTTTGTTTCTTTGTTTTCTTCTTGTTTTGCAAAGTGGAAAGTCGATCAAACAGCAGGGCTTCAATGGTATGAGCTTTGCTTCTCTTCTTTTCGTGTCAACGACGTGTCGGTCCAAGATGCTTTGAAAGGAGGACGGTAAAGCGCAGGTCGACCTCACGAAACCAACAAATGAGTTATAGTCACTTTACATCATTCTACCTACCAAATGACGGATCTAGCAGCATCAAGCAGGAACAGACGCAGGATCTAGTCCAAAAGGAGCTTAGTCATTTTACCATATACCCCTATCGCGTTCAATAATTTGGTATCATAACTGGTGTGTTTCCATATATAAATTATAGAGGAGATACTGGCGCTCGTGAACGGCGCTAGTAACGACGGCGCGCGCGCCAGTAACGCACGCTTGCGCGCTCGGTCGTCATTGTCGTCCCGTTCGGATCCGTTCAGATCCATCGGTCCGGGATGGGCTCACACCGAGCCGAGCCGATTCCGGATTCCATCCAAATCACGTTGACCACAAAGCGTTGGTTTTCTGAGTGTGAAGACGACATGTTCACGTGGTTCACGACAGGAAAGCAGGGCTGTGAAGACTGTTCTCTTCGGAGTGTTCAAAGGATCAATAACGTTGCTTTACAGTAATGTATGTATTTTACAATATTTTACACCTCACACCTCGGGCATGTCATGTGCAAAGTGACACTTGCACAAAGAACATCCGAGAAGTCCTTGAGGCGTTCTGCGCTGGCGCAAACGCCTCACTGAAGGGTTGCCAGTTCTTCAGTTGCCACTTCTGTTTCAGCCAAGGCATCACCTCCCACGATCAACTACACCCCAGCGCCAAGCTCCTCGCAAGCGACGCCAGCGATGCCTCAGTTGCCGCCACAGGCGCCGGCGACACTCGCCCCGTCCGGTCGCCATCGAAACTCGCGCCCTTTGGACTCGTTGGTCGTTTGGCTTCAGCGAAGACTCATCATCGGCGTCAGAAGGATTAAATTAAGATGAAGAAGGATGAAGATCTAGAGTCTAATTACAAAGTCTATATACTATACCTGGACCCTCCAAGGGACTACCTATAGGCTTCCATTGGGCACCCCTTGGAGGGTCCTGGTAGTAGAGTCTATAGTTCTTTTTAAACCATATTTCCCCACCTGTCAGGTGAGGGTTAATTAGATTTTATGTCAGCTCATGCCCTCCTCCTCTTCCTCCTGCTCCTCGTCCTCGGCTGGCAGTGTTCACCGCCGGACCTCAACCGCGAGCGTCGGCTGGCAGTGTTTCCCCGCCGAACCTCAACCGCGAGTCAAAAGATATGCCAGAAAGAATGTCAGAAGAGATGCCAGAAAGAATGTCAGAAGATGGCCGGAAATAATGTCAGAAAGAATGTCAGGATGAAAGAATGCCGGAAGATATGCCCGAAAGAATGTCAGAACATATGCCAGAAAACATTCAGAAAGAATGCCAGAAAAATGTCAAACAATGCTTCAGTGCGTGCCAGAAAATTTGTCAGATTGAAATGTCATGGTGGGGGTCACAGTAAAGTATTTTCTAAGATTTATCATCTACACTGCTCCAGCTCAACTTGCTCAACCAAAAGCTGGTGTGTTTTTGCCATATTCTAAATACGCAGTCGCTCCAAATGAACCAGTTCCACTCTCCACAATCCCCTTGAAGGGTAATACATGATAAGCGCATCCAGCCATTTTCCGGCCACAAAAAAAAACGCGCCTTCCGCGAACACTGTCGCCACTCCGCTCAGGTGGCCATGCTCCTCATGGCGCCGGTGGCATGCCCAGTGCAAGTGACGCCCGTTGGATCGCCCTGCCGAACGTCGCAGGTGCGAGCAGCGGAAGAAATCGTCCGTCGGAAACGGTGGATCACGGAATTGGTGTCTATATGCTTTTGTCCTTTGGGTTAAGCCCTCATTGGCTTCAAGATGTTTCAAACCAATTGTGGATGAATTTTCGTGGCACCGACTGCAAAAGTGTCACAAGTCTCCTTTTTTCGAACTGTTTTGGAACAATTAAAGGGGTTCACCGCGCAGACCTGGACCAACATCTGCACCAAAGGACGAGCGCTCAAGCGTCATCGGTGCTGCTCCACTTCCCATCTTTTGGCCGCAAAGAATGCTGGAACTAGTGCTAGAGCTGGAGAAGCCAGGATTTCTCGAGGATGAGCCTCCCAGTCTGGGGTGAAAATCCACCCTAATTACTAATTACACTGGATGATGCCGGATCTATCCCTCCGCACGGGTCTTTCCGCCGTTCCACTTCGGCGAACCCGCTCACCCGCTTCGCCCGAACACCGCGCGGTTCCGCGCATCAAAGCCCGCGCGAGCCCGCAGCGCGGCACAGGCGGAGTCGGAGCCTCCCCGGGTGTTGCTCGGGAGGACGTTATCTCCGCGTCCCGAGGACGAACCTCGTGAGAAGCCGAGGTGCGAGCACCTCGGAGGTTTTTTCAGGGGCCGGATCTTTGCGTGGAGATGCTGAACCTGGTATGCTTATGGAGTTATGGTAGGTAGGAGGAGTAGCAGTCGTCGTTTGTAGTTGTAGCAGTGGTGGATTCCTTCATGTTCACTCCCAGAATGAGAAGCTTTCGAATTCACCAGAAGTCCCGTTCGACGACGAACTGTGCACGTTTAGCACCAAAGTGCCATGCAATAATCTGCTAATATATGCAATCCCTTTCTAGGTCATCTAAGGACAAGAATGGTCTTGGACTCCGATTCTTAAATTGGTAGAGTTGGAACATCACCAGACACAGACGCGACAGGATCGATGCCGCCCCTGACCCCCGGCGTTGGTCGGCTTCGCTGAAACCTCGTGGAGGGACGACCGCGGTGTCACCGCGCACCATGCGACCGCGCCAAGCGACTCCCGGAAAAACAAACATCTTAGGCCAGCTACTTGGGAGCCATGCGCTAGTGCAAGTCATCCAAAGACATCGTCGTCCGACGTGACGTGCAAAGAGAGAAAACACAGCAGAAAACACCAAGTCTTTCACACCACCGCAGCGTCACCATGAACGTCCATCCGACGGGTCTGGGTCACCTAGCTGGACGACCGTCGACACTGGGCGTTCGGCGTTGGCCATCGCCCAGGCCCACACAGGAGACGAGCCAGAGTGGTCCGCTGCCGCTGGAGACCCAGTGGTCCGCTGTGCACAGCGGCATCGTGAGACAAATCGACGCAACTCTTCGCGTCCTGCGTGCATCTCTTAGACACTGATGACACTGTAACATATATACTCAATATACTCTAAAGCATCCCTCAAAACCCAAAAGAAACCACCTAAGAAACACATGAAGAAACAACTCCTTTCATTTTCTTTCTCTTACAACTTGAGAAGAACCACCAAACCGCCCGGAGACCAGAGACCTTGGGCCGCTCCGTCTCAGGCCCGGTGCCTTGGAGCAAAGCAGCACGGCCATCGGCAGCGAACGGATTCGCTGGTGCGTCGACGGGCAAAAACTGGAGTCGCACGCCGAGAAGCTGATCAGCCCGGAGTGCCGCGGTTTTCGGGGACGGGTGAAGAAGGGAAGATGCACGATGCACGACTAGCTTGCTTGCTTAGCTTTTTGGTTGGGAGGGGAGGGGAAGAGGGCGGGAAGGCTTGGGTTTGGATGGATTTGATGATTGCTTTTGGTTCCTTCCCAGGTCAGATTGGGTGCTTCAGAGATGGAAAGACTTCTGATTACCTGTCTTTTCAGGGCAAAAGCTGAAAAGCTATGCACCGGTCCTTTGTTGTGTTGTCCACAGCGGGTTCGAGGGCGTTTGAACTTTGTCAGCAACCCAAAAGACGGTCGACGCGGACGATGTCCACATGTCGGTCGTTTATGGGCCTATATAGGATTATGTGGCTGAAATAGGAAGACCTCCCAGGCATTCCGACCCCCTGGAAGGTTCTGGAAAATAGACCAGTCTACCCAGCCAGGGCCAGGGGGGTGTCTCCGCGCACATGTTCCTCTTTTTTTTTTCAGCCTTCCAGCCGAAATCACAGGTTTAAGCTCTATATTCCTGGAACTGGCGAGAGCCAACCCTTCCGCATCATGATCCTGGCGAATGAGACCGGGGGCAAGCATGGTGCTGGCTTCAAGAAGGCCAAGGGTCGAGGGAACATCGAACTCAAATGCTTCGGCTCTGTAGAGGGCGAACACAGCACTTCGATGCTGGTGACGGTGGGCAGTGGTGGTCGAAAACAGAAAGCGCGGGAGCCGGTGCGGCATAGCTTCGCGGAGAAGAGTTGCTGCCTGTTGCCGAAAGGGCGGGATCCTGCTTGGGATCTCAAAGCAGCATTGTGCAAAGAGACGAAGTGTGTCGAGCTTTGTATAGAGGTTCTACCGGAATAATTCGCCTAGAGATGCACCTGCGAAAGACAGGAGGCCTTAAGCAAAATTCGTGGTTTCACCCGGAGAAAGAGCCAGAAGGTAGCGAGCCAGCCGTGTTTAGTGTTATCCCAAAAGTGCGTTCGAGTGCGTTCTTCGCGTATGACACTGCGCAGATGACCAAAGTTCTCAAGACGTCAGAAGATCGATTGGACCGAAGATGGTTCTTCCCACCCAACCGCCATGCCCCATAATTCCGCTTCAAAGGAGGTTTTGGCCCCTGCTGAACGGAGGGCCAACCAGAAAACGGAGTTCGAAGGTCGGATTGCTCGACAGGAGAAGGTCTGACCTGAGCATCCAGGTCCCTCCATGATCCATCCATCGCAGCCAATGGATCTGATGCCCAAACGTGGGCCAATGCTGTGAGGCTCCGAACCACTCGCCCCTCGCCACGTGGGGAGCTCACGTGCACCGAGCACCGAGCGGCACGTGCGAGCACGAGCACCGAGGTCATGGTGCTGCCTCCTCCATGGGTGACGGGTGCGATGGAAAAGCCCGCTGGCACCAAGAACATGGGAACTTGGACGCAAGCCGTAGGGTCCTCAGCTGAGTTCTAGGCCTGGCGAAAGATGGCTGAGTTCAGCTCAGCCAATCATGGCTGGGTATGGAGATCTTCAAATCCTAATTACGCGTTGTCGCTCAATCCTTTTCATATCTTTTCATCCAGCTGTGTGCAGCGGCGTGGTGAAAACGCAAAAAACAAACAAAAGCTCGAGTGTCGCTGTTTTCAGCGACCTTGTTGGGGATTCCAAGGAGTTCCGCTGTTGCGAGATTGGGGTGAACCTGAAACGCCCGTGTTCGACCAACTCTGAAACGCTCGGCCTGAAATAGCACATGCTGAAACCAGAGGCGGACGGCTGTCCTGGCTGAGGTCTACACTCCTGAGCAGCAAGCTCGCCTAGGCGAGGCCAGAGAACCACCGCCCTGAGAAGATCGGAGAAGAGCACAGTGCTACAGCCACGCGGTTGCAGGCGGTATAGTTCTGTGCTTGCATGTCGAATCTGGCATGGCAGGTGTAGATGAAACTGGAAACAAAGTTGCGAAGGCTGGTACTGGCTACAACGACCTCCCCGTGTTGCCAAGTCATGCTAATTCAGTGTCTATTGCGTCGAGGAAGCTCCAGTGGCAGCAAAAGCGTATCAAGTGCGCCGTCCTTGGGACGCTTCTACACGTAGTCAGCGACGCATGAAATGATGACCGGCAAGCAAACAATTCTGCAATTCACGCCAGGGCCATGCTCCGAGGCCTGTCTCAGCTCCCGTGGCTGCTCCGGCTGCAGTGTGGAGCCTGGTGTGCACTTGAGTGAGATTACATGAGCTTGCAATCTCTGAGGCTGGAAGAATAGGGTTGGTGGGTCCAGCATGGACCAGGGGCGAAATTGAGAAGCCTGCTGGCACCAAAGACATGGGTGGCTGGCAAGGATTGGTGCAAGCCTCAGTTGCAATCCTTCATTCACCTGTCATGATCATCATGATCTTTGGATAGATGGAGGTTTATACGGCCGAGCAGCAAGCACGGCTAGGCGAGATATGCAAGATTGCTTCCTGAGTCTTGAGTTAACTGCAGAAGTTGCAGGTGTAGACGAGATGGGAAACAAACTCGCAAAGGCTCGACGCATTGACGAGTGACGAGTGCATCATTCGTTCATCACATCCACATTGGGTTTGGAGGAAGCTCCAGTGGCGAAAGCTGGAAGTCAAGCGTGCCTTGCTTGGAACATCTTGGAACAAGTTGGGGAGCGTTTTGTTTCTTGATGTCGAAAAGAACCCTTCGTTGGGGCTGTTTTGGGATGGACATATATAAATGGAGTTTCACATATAAAGTTCACACACCCAAACGATGCAAAGTGATCCAGAATGTAGCTTGCAGGGCCTTGTTTGTGGAACAACTTTT